TCCCTCCCTCCCTTCCTAATGTAAACTTGCTGCCTATTTTCAGCCAAATGTAACTCAAGGTTTCAAGATCCTAGAGACATTAAACTTACATGTTTTTCTTAAATCAAGTGGAAAAAAGGTGGACTGCTAGCTCTCCAGCTTGCAGAAGTGAACTCAGTCATTACTAGGTGCTGGAGAATTTCCCCGCATTCCCAGCCTTTTGTCAGAAGCTGAGAGACAACTGCACAGGGAACAGGCCCTGATAGTTCCAGTACTAACAAGAAATAAGAAGGTCACTTGAATAGGACTTCTTTTTGACCATGAAAATGGATTATTATTTTTTCCCCTACCTGTTGCAAGTGTGACCTAAACGTTAACTACTAAGTGGAAGTCACATCTTTTGGAGTTGAGGTGTGTATCTGCTTGCTCATTCACTCTAGAATCAGCTCTCCTTCATTTAAGGCAATGAAGCTTTGCACGATTGGACTGGCAAATAATTAGATCCAAAGTGCATATTCTTATGTGATTATACCCTCCCCTGTGCTGCAGTAGATTGATTTAGATTCGTGTCAAGATGAATGACAACCAGAATTCTAATAGGTATTTGTCTTACCTTTTGTAATGCTGTCCCTTCCCCCTCCATTTCTTCGTTGATGCTTAGAAAAGGCATTTCTTCTAGTCTGTGTATGATACAGTAAATTATTCATAGTAATGTATTAACAGGGCACTAAGGTCTATTAGACTGAGTTAATCTCTCTGCTCATTATCCACAGCAAGCAGAAAAAGGTAGTCTTTCAGTCTGAATTACCTGCAGTACCCTTTTCTCGAAGACATGAAAGTTATTTTCTTTACTTTTTTCTCAGGAAAGTAGAATTCATCTCTCATTCCTCTCTGACCTCCGTAACATCTTTCCTCCTGGAAGAGTGGAAAAGCAGAAAGTATCTCCTCATAGTTATGTTTTCTCTCTTCTTTTTTTTTTCTGTCCTCTTTGTGGCCTATACAGTAATATACTGACCCCATATTATATCCAGTGTCAACTTCCAGTCAAATGGAATTAATTCTTTTTTTCAAAACCAACTAACAAATTTCAAGTTTAGCAATCACACAGCTTTACATCCTTGGGAGGACTAGGTATAGCATACTTGTTGTTTAATGTGTTAAGCATCATTTTTGTTTTACTTCGTTTTGTTAAAGATGTGAGAAGCTACCCTGGAATAGTAGTTGCTTTGATGCTCTAATGATCATTAATATTGGAGAAAGAAGCTCTGTCATTTTATCTTGCTGAAATGTATTTTACCTCTGTGATAATATTAATTGGTACTTTCTAGTAGCTGTGCATTAGCTTCATAGTAAAATTGTGTGTAAATGAAAATGTAGCATACTGGATTAGGTACTCAGCATTATTAAGCTGTGAGTCAGCTTGTTACATCTGAGAAGGGATCTTTTTTCAGTGCTGGTTTTCTGTCACTCACCTGCAGTTTTGAGGAAGCACTATTAAATGGTCTGTTGGTCAGGCAAGACACTTGTACCACTCTGCAGCTATTCAGGGTGATGGGTGCCTTTCTGATTCAGTCAGCCATAGGATTCACGCTCACTAAAATTTACCGCTTTCTGCTCAGTCGCAGGGAAGCTGGTTTTACGCAGCCAGCTGTTTGTGCTGCCCCTGAACACACAGAAACATGTCCTTTAAAATTCTGTTTGTGCTCATACAGTGGCTGCATGCTCTATTGAAGTCCTTTTTTTTTTTTGTACTTGGCTCCATATGATCAAATATATATAAACAGAATGTGGCCTTCATACACCGCAAGATAAAGGATTCATCAGAGTGTGAAGAAATGTCCTAGCTACATCTTGTTAAAAAAGCGTGTTTGTGTGCACACGCATTTGTTATGTAACTGTCCTCGATGCACAGCATCACTGCATGCTGCCGGCCTGCCAGGTGCCACTTAGGGAGGCGCATACGCGTATTTACAGTCCCACTTGAGGTACAGTATTACGTCGGTGAGAGGAACAAATTCGGAGGATGAAATTAGTGATGTAACTGAAACGAAGGTGTTTACAAGACTCTTGGAGTTTGCTGGTAATGTTCAGAAAAACACAACATTGGCATCTTGTTGCTTTTGAATTAGGCCTACAGATGTAATGGTTTTATTTATTTTCCATGGCTCCATCAAGGCCAATGAAGTTGTGAGGTATGAATCCTTATTGTTACATGCTCAGAAACAACCATAGATTAATTAAATTGCTAGGGTTTAGTCAGTAAAATTGCGTAAATTTGACTCTTACACAAAAACAGAGAACTGAGGCACAATCATATGTTTTTAAAACTCCAACCACAGCTTGAATGTTTGTCTTCATAATATATGTGTTGAGGTATCAGGCCAATAATTCACATACATTGATAAACACAGCTTCCCTTTTGCTTTCATGTTCCCAGGGAGTCAAAACTGTGCTATGCATTAGCAAATTTGGCATAATTCATTCTGTGAACAAACTGATCATGGAGTTCATGAAAGAAAGATATATGGATATTTACTTCTGTGTGTTTTTTTTTTTTCTTCCACAGAATGATATCACACCATTACATGTTGCATCAAAGAGGGGAAATGCAAATATGGTCAAACTCCTACTTGATCGAGGAGCTAAAATTGATGCCAAAACAAGGGTAAGCTTAAATGTGAATGCTGTGAGTGACTGTGGAATTCTTGCCTCTGACCTGTTGGTTGCTGTAGAGCTTGCTTAATTCTTCTTCCTGGCAGGCTACCGTAGCTGCACTCCCTTATTTTTTTTTTTTTTTAAATACAAAATGGTTGCAGTATTTACATCTCTTAAAGCAGTGTGTGAAACACCATGTATGGCAAAGCTCAGAACTAACAATTTTCCATGTTCTCCACAGAGCATTTAATCGAGAGCTGCTTCTAGCTACTTAGGGGTAGAGGTGAATGTACAGGAAAATACTAAAAGACAAGAATTCAGTTCGGGTATTTCAGAATTTGAATGCAAAAAGAGTAACTTTGAACTGCAGTCTGTGTTTGCCTTTCATTATCCACAGGGCAGTGTCACAGAGCATGATGTCGCTGATGAGTCTTGCGCAGCTCAGCTTCTGTCTGACTGGGTACTTAGCTGCTGGCTTGCATTTTTCAGCAAATGTGCTGGGTGTAGCAAAGGTTTCCATCAGGTCGACACCTGACTCGAGTTGCTGAGTGATTTAAAAGCTCGATGCATATGGTTATATTTCAGTGCTGTAGTTAAAACCCAATCAAACCAGTTTAGGGATATTTTGTTTACTTACATAGTGGCAAAAAAGAGAAAGAAAAAATTGAAAGCTTTGGAAGTAAACCTAGAACTGCTACTGCTGTGGGCTGTCATGGCAGTCTTTGCGACATGCTCCTGTGCATGTGAAGTAACCTTTAGGAGCTGTGCCTGTAACTTTTTGACAGTTGTCATTTTCTTGAAATACTAGCTTATCACCTACCCATCTTCCATTTTTAATTATTCTGTATAATTTCTACTAGCATCATTCTAAACAAAACAAAGGTATAACCTAAGAATATTTTTTCTGCAGTTACTACTGTATCCACAGGTTTCTGTTTGGTTTTCCAGTGTTTCAGCAGTCTCTGAGATTGCCTGCAATGCTTGTTGAGGCATGTTTGTATTTTTTTATTTCTGTAGCAAATTCAGAAACTGGGTCAGTTTATTTTCTCATCTCTTCACTCTCTCCACATGTTTTTCTTTAGTTCTTCTATTTTACCTTTAGAAGTCACTCATGATTTCTTTGTGAAAGTTTCTGGTAATTGGGGAATATGGAAAAGTTGCCTTTTCATGGATAACATGAACAGTGGGTATAATTTCTGGACTGAAATACCAGCCTCCTATGCGCTACATGGGGGCTGCCAGGCTAAGGGGCGTGGGTCTGCCATGTGGTGAGGAGGGCCACATTTTGGTGATGTGACAGATTTGCATTTAGTCAGAGCAGGGAGAAAGGGATGTGGCAAAGGACTATTTGTTTCCTCTCTGCAAGCATTTATAGGGCCCACTGCAGCCAAAATGTTGTGGACCACTACTTTAAATAGTTGGAGTCCAACTATGTTCATTACGAAAATTTGTGATGTGCTTAATTTCCTGTATCACAAGCTTCGGGGTCAGACATTAGGATAATTTATGTAACTAAAAATACAGTCTGGGACGGAAACAAGATCCAGGAAGAGGGCAGAAGCATTAACAGCTCCTGAATCTGGGCAGAGCTTCTCAGTGAGGCAAAAGGCAATGGATGAATGTGGTTCACGAAGTGGTGGTTTGTTTTTTCTGGCTTTCCCCAGAGACTGCGTGTTTCCTCAAACACCCATCCTCTCCATAAATCAGGAGGGATTTGCATAACTTCTCCTGTGTGTGCTGTACGTGTGTCACTCATAGTTGCACTTCTCTGGCATTACCAGAGGCATCATTTTCTGGCAGTTAGTGACTAAGTGGAAGTTTTGCTCCCAGCGGCACTGACTCATCCTGGCAAGGGTTTACCAGCCTGTGGTCTGAGCGGCCTCTGCTGAGGAGTCGCACTGAACTGAGCAGACAGCTGCATGATCGAGAAAAGGGAAGAGCATCGCTGGAGTAGATCAGGAAGGATTTACAAATCAGTAGGAGAAGCAATAGACTGAGGAATGTGGTGGTAGATGAAAAAAGGACATTGTTTCAGGAGTGTCTGCCAAGTTCTCATATTCAATAGCAAAGATTAATTGCTGTGAGCTGTTACAACACATGTTCCTTCTAAATCTCTCTTGTTATTCCTACCTGACCCCATGTTGTTTTCAGAGGCAGAACAATTGAGGTATGTCAACTTTGCAGTCACTTCATTTTTTTAAGCACCATTCTTTTTTTAGTGCCCCAGACATGGAACGGCCTTACGAAAATACAGGATGACAAAAGCTTCAGTCATACCGTTTTACAGCACCATCACCACTACAGGGTATATTGAAAGGCAAAGGGCAGGCAAGGGCTCTCTTTTCTGAGACGTGTATCAAGTCATGCCTATCAGCTGGGTGCCCAGTCAGAGCACAGCCTTGTGGTGTTCTGTGAGGGGCAGGTGTAGTTGCGCAATGCACACACAGCTTGATAAACAGATGGGATTTGCACGGCTCCTATTACCAGATTTATAAATGTGAGGCATCTTTTTTTTGAAAGAGGTTTTAAAGAGATGAGCGATTTTTTTTTGTCGTTGTTTGATTAAGGTAGTTTTTTGTCTTGGACACCATGATATTATTTAATGCAAATGTTGGTTATGGAACACTAAATACCTTCTTAAAGGTGAATGGCAAAGGTTCTGTACCCATATGAAAGGACAAAAATTACTGAAAATTTCTTGTTTCTTTTGCTCAGAGGCAGAAATTCCTAGGCCTTTGTTTCTACTTTATTGGATTTTTAATTCACTTGTAAATAAGTATGCAGAAAATACTGGTTTGTGTTGTTGACCAAACACTAACAGAGCCAGGATTCACTACTTCAACTCTTATATGGGACAGATTTAGCTATTCAGCTGTTGTTTTGTGATCTGTTCCTGCAGTCCATTCTCTGTATGGGGTATTGGAAATATGCTCCATGTAATGTCTCTTTATTTTTCACAAACATACTCACTTTGTAGATAAATTCACATAAAGCCCTTCCTGAGCATTAAGTAAGTTGGGGTAATGATATCTTTTCCTTAGTCATTTCCATGAGCGTTTGTGTTTGCTGGTAGCAGATGGTCCTGGAAACTGCAATGCTGAAGTGCTGCACAAAAGGTTAACAACAAGGGCTAAATCCCTATCCTGTTTAAATTATTGTAAAAGTCATCCATGGGGTCCCAATTTCTCTATATTCATTAGGACTAGGATTTGATGAGCACCATAAATCTTGTTGCACACCTGCAAAGTATACTTAGGAGCTCAGATAACATGTGAGAGTATGAGGTTATTTCCAAAAATGATCTTACAACTATTTTGAGGCTCAGCCATCGTTTTTTTTTTTTTCTCTTAGTTCATGCTTATGTTGCATTGTTTATTTTACCAGCTGTTTATCTTTTCTCTGTCCTTTTTTTGTGCGAGATGTCTAGCAGCTGGTACTTGGGGCTTTATATTGAATTCTTAAGAGTAGTCCTCAAGAACAATGTGCTACTTTTGTCCATCCAGGGCAGCTTTTATTATTCAGGTTTTTAACATTCTAAGCAAAGACCTATTAATGCCTCACATAACATGTTACTGAATGTTTCCCTAATTATTTTTTCTCTGTCTTCCAGAAAAGGCTTTAAAAAATAAATTTTAATTAGAGAGGTTGATTAAATCAGTTTGATTTGCTTTGGCTGTCCAACACTGTATATGCCAAAGTGAATTTTTGTCTGAAGCAGGCAGAAAGCATGTTTTAGCATGGATTAATAATAAGTGTTTATAATCTTCATTCTACTGATTTTTTGCAGCTAAATAACAGGCCAGCACTCTTATCTGCATGAAAACATGTGGGATATGCATCAGATCATAAATAAGCTGCTCCAGAAAAGCCACATGTATTAAGATATAAAATAACTACAAGAATAACACTGACTTGGCACCAAGTGCATTTTGCATGTGTAGGAAGAGCAAACCTCATTTGTTGCCCTGTTTTATGGAAGGGGCAGTTTGCAGCAGTGCCAATGAAGTTAAGAATTCAGGAGACTTAGAGCACAGTCATGAGATGGGACAGTCATGGGACCATGAGATAGAGAGCCCTGCTAGGCTGAAGCACATGCAGAGAGACTGACTAAGCATCGATGGGGATGATAAACCCTGGAGGCAGCAATAATTGCTCCCCTGAGGGAAGCATGCCTTCCACCTCTAGCTCAGGGGAGTGGAGTGCCTGGCACGCTCCTTCCAAGGCCATGGACAGGCTCTGGGATTTAGCTCAAAGTCTGACAAGCTCTTGCTGAATATTTGCATCACAGTAAAGTTTTTACTGGGTGTTGTGCTTAATTTCATCACTCATAGGCTGGGTTAGAAGCTGATCTGAGAGTTGAAGTGCTGAGGCTGCCATGGATTTGGGGTACAGCCCAGAAAATCCCATTGTGCAAGGGAAATCCTGGGTGGGCCTTGACAGGGAAGGAGTAGCTGGGGAGCACAGGGAGGCTGGTTCATGCTTACCCGTGCTGCTCAGAGGTCTCTTACAGCCACATGTGGTGGCAGGAAGATACACTGCAGGAAGGAGGCTCAGCTGCCTGCACCATCATCTGCTAACCTCAAGCCAGTTGTGAGCCCAGTGCGCCAAGATCAGGGAGCTACACAGGTACCAATTCTCAACAGGGACCAGCAACAGTGCTTAGATCTCATTTACTTGGGGGGGGGTGGTGCGCAGGACGGTGTTTGAAATAAAAGCTACAGAAAGAGCAGCAGCCCCAGAGATGGGTGTGCTTATGGGAATCTTGTGCATAAGCAGAACTCCTCCTATTGTCCTCCTGGCTTCACTGGAGCTGCTGTCAGGCTCTCTGGATGGATAGATAATACTGATGATATGATTTATTGTGTCAGCACATACTTAGAGAGTCCTTAATCTGCAGATTATTGTCATAATCGTTTGTAATGGTTTTTCTGAGCCATTGCAGACTATCATATTAAGGCAAGTTTGCTTCATAATACATGTAATATATTTTATGCTTCACATAGTATAGTCTATATGAACAGTAAATAAGCAACTAAGAAAATCTCCTCACAAAACCAGTAAAGTCTTGCTGAGTTCAGAGCAGTCTCTCTTAATCTCCCATTCTCTTTTTTTAAACAAAATCTTTCTATGACTTGTGTTTCAGATTGCCTCTGCACAGTTCTTTAAGACTTTTAGTGCCATATAGCAATTAACCAAGTCAGGTGAATAGATGGTGTCTCCTCAGAATACAGAAAAACATCTCTGCAGCTAAATGAGCTGTCTTCAAATATCTTTGCTCCTTACAGTGGGAGTCCTGACATTGTCTTAACAATAGCTACAGATCAGCTGTCCCAACAAGCACCTATATTACATTGTAATGTTGTGTCACACCGTGTGATGCATCTGGTGGTGGTGACTGCTATGTGGACTAGAATGAGCTCTAGCTGGCCAAGCATGACTGCTTGCTGCCTCCTGTGCCACAGGAACCTTGTCAGCAGTAGGTGCAAGCTGGGCAGGCCTGGGCAACGTGAGATGATTGGGGCACTGTGCTCTAGGGAGCACTGAAGTCGTTTTTAGTCTAGTGCATGAAGATGATCAAATGTGTCTCATTCTCTGTGAGCTTGGTATGTCTGCACGTGGTATGTTTGTGAAATGAGTTGGGGGGTATGAAGTCTGGAAAATGTTCCCTAACTTAAGAGTTTTGTGCCTGATCTCCTTGAGTATCTTTTTGATGTGCCTGGAGAATAGGATAACTATAGGAAGTAAAAAGAATGAACAATCTAATGTATATGATCTTCAGCTCCTGCCTACAGGTCTCTAGTTACCCAGCCTTGCTGGTTTTTATTTTCTTTCCTGTACATGTTTTTTGCATGTGGGTGATATTTTTATCTTAGTTGTTTGCATTCTGCTTAGTACTTGGTATGCCCTTGCCTGTGGAAACTACTGGTATGGGTAATACGCATTACCTTTTTAAACACTTGTTGTGAAGGTACAGCAAAACATTTGCAGCTCAACTGATAAACATACCTCATGATTTTTGGTATCTTTTCTCTTTGTTTTTACTTACATGTTTTGAGCAATACATATTTATTTTGTGTAGTATCATTTTAACATGATTCCCTTCTCTGTACTTCATGGGCTGAAATAACAACGAAGCAGAAGTGACAATTACATCAACTACAGAAATGCCAGTAAGATGCCATAGTGGGCCAAACTGTGTTCATCTTGCATGAACAAATGGCTCCCTGAGTCTTGATCAAGTTAAGTCTGAACCAAAATCTTTTATTCTTTTATATCAAAAACATATGCCTAACTTTAAGTCAAAGGACATGTACAATGAGAACCATGCAACTTTTAAATGAGACGAGCAGAAAAAGTTAATCACAACAATTTCTTTCTGCTGTCTTTCATAGGCTTAGTAAGAGAGGGCAAGAAAGCAGAAGCAGGAGATTTAAGGCTCTGAATCACTACCTCGCTCTCCCCAGCAGCCCTCTACGCTTTGCAAGTCTTAAGCTGATGTTCTCGTAGAGTGTAATCATTTAGGAATTATCAAGAAAGAATATTGTAATTATGCATGGAAAATATGTCTAAGGAGGTATCTTAATAATACTTGCTACCATACAGAGACAGACAGAGAGGGAGTGCGTGTGCGTGAACTAGGAAGCACAGGATGTGCTTCAGGATGTGTGAGAAGGAATTTTAGATAATTCTTTTTATAAAAACAATGTGACATACATATTTTAGACAATGCAACATATTTAAAGAGTGCTGGAAGACACTGGAAAAAGGCCCCTTCCTTTATGACTTGTATTTGGAAAACTAATAAATATTTATCTTTCTTCTTTATTAGTTTCCACCTTTCTTACAAAGGCTCCTCTTCTGACATATTTAGTGGAAACACGGTATTGTTTCTGTGAGACAGTATCTCCTGCATATGTTTTGCTTGTAACAAATCAAATGTTTGCTCTTACTAATTCTGAAAACGTAAATTTTTCTTCCTTATTTTTCTTGAAACTGTGACGTTACTAATTGTGACAAGCACTATGTCACACGGCATTGAAAAAACTCCATGTGACATTACTCACAGTTACTCAATGCATATGTTGCTCTTTTTCATCATAGCACTCATTTACAGCAGGTTACTTGAGCATCACAAACAGAGTACAGGTCAAAGAACAATCAAATTAATTTAGAATAACTCTGTTGACGTTAAAAAGAATCTTCCTTTTATTTAAGGAATGTATTTCTAATATGATGATGACTTTTACTAAGCAATCTATTCTGAAAGAGGTTTTGACAGTATGCCTTGACTCCAGACCAGTCATTGAGCTGCAAGTCACACAAATATGGTCTACATGACAAGAGACAGAAATTAATCCAGCATACTTTTATCACCTGGGATTTAAGATGGTTTTCTCATCTGCTATACAGCTGCCAAAATCAGTGTAATAAAAAATGTCACACTAAGTAGGAAAGATTTTTATTTTTTTCTCTCAGACAAGAGGACCATCCATTGACTTCAGTGCATACTGACAAATGAAAAACCTAATTCTCTCAAAGGCATGCAGGCAAAAAGTACCTGATGTGCAATCTCATCTTTTTCTTGTATATGCATTTACCACTTTCCTGCACATACAGTAGGGCCTGGGAGTAGCCCACTGTACGAGCACCAATTTGATGTGACTATTTACATGTTTAGAAAGTCAGAGCCAAAATGTACTCTGTCCATTTGAATAAACAGGTTCAGCTGTTCAGTTGCCTAAGAGCAGCATCCTGCAGGAATTAATTAGTTTCTTAGGATGTGGTAGGTCTTTATAAAAGTGCACAAGATTTTACTGTGTCTGAAACTAATCGATCATACTGCTTATGTCCCACAGGATGGGTTGACCCCCCTCCACTGTGGAGGAAGAAGTGGCCATGAACAGGTTGTAGAAATGCTGCTGGATCGTGGTGCCCCTATTCTTTCCAAAACCAAGGTAACTGGTACTGTTTTCTGCTGGGATAATCCTTGTACTTTTTTTAATGTAATTCTGCACGTCTCAATGTATTTAAGTGTTTGACAATAACTTTTCTATATCATAGCTATTTAAAGTAGCTGTGTGGGAGATCTCCAAAGTGAATGCCGTATGTAGCGCACGTCTGCATATGTAAAATGTGTTAAATCGAGATACTCAAGAAAATGTTTCTGTGCCAGCCAAAAAGGAATGTATGGTAACCTTATCCCTCATAATTTCAGTAGCTGAAAATCTCTGTATCTATCCTGGAATAAATACATGGTGATTACAATATATCTTCAGCTTGCACCAAATTACCCTAAGGCTAGAGTAGAGATAAGAGATAAAAATAGAGCAATGTCTCTTTGCAGAGACAGCTCATATTTCCTTAGGACTTAGCCTGATTACCAGTTTCTCCACTTTCTATCTCTCTACAGTTTATCATGCAAAATCATTCATGGAAATTTCAAATCACCTGCACCAGGGTGCGCAGATTGCTTTACACCCAAGGGTTAGCATTAAAGCACACTCTTGCCAAAACTCTTCTGGTGGTGGTCTCTGCTGTGCCACTGTTGCTGATTTTAAATCTCAGTGCAGCAGCCTGCTTTGTAGCATCACTACAATCCATGACTTTCCCATTCAGGATTGACGTTTGGGTTGTGCAGGTTGTTGAGGTTCTTTCCCAAGATAACCTTCCACTACATTTTTTTTTTCTCTCAGTCTGTAAGCAATAGATTTCCAACAACATTTCTTGTTTCCTTCTGTTACTTCCCTCCTCTGTCATCCTGTCCTATTCTGTCTCGGCGCCCTTCTATATTCTGCTTTTCTCCTCCCTCTTCTTTCTTTCTTTTTTCCCCCCTTACCGGAATATATTTAGCATTTGTTTGGGGAGGTTGGCACCAGCTTTCCTCTGCTGAGTGAGTCACTGGCAAGTGCTGTCACGGGTAATCTGGCAGACAGGATCCACCCGTCCTTTGCATGTGGAGTTTCCATGGACTCCCACAGCCCTGACTTGCAAACGTCACGAGCAGGGTGAGCCAGCAAGGGGCTGTCCAGAAGCACTCCCCACCCCGGGCGCATCTCCACACCGTTGCCACTCTCAGAGCCAAGAGCTCCATACTCATGTGGAGTAAGGCTCTTCCACACTCTCTGGTAGCTCAGTTAATTACTTAAGGAAAAAAATTTAAACCTCATTGCTTTGGTTTCCACCATCATAAATGAGAACCTCTCCTAAAGAACTACATTTTTTTGCTACATGGATTTTTGTATTGTCAGGTGTTATCCCTAAGCTTAACCTGCTGTTCAAGGCCTGTGGGTTTTGAATTTGTTCCTCTTCCTGAGGAGGTTCACACAGCCTGGACGAGAGTTCACTTGCCAAAAATCAGGCAGATGAGAACATGGGATAGTGGGTTTGAAATAGCCCAAGGCTGAAAGACACACTTTGGACATTGACCTGCAGAGGCTTATGTAAACACCTCCAGCAAAATGGGAGCTTCTCTCTGGAAGAGAGAAAATTATGTTACGTGTTAAAAACTGAACGGAAGAAAGTGCAGAGCTTCCTGAGTTTCCCTCTGATGTGTTAATTCTGATGTTTTAGAAGGTAAGCTAAGAAGTAGCGGTACCTCTGAATGACATTAATGAATCCATTCATTTGGCACTAAACTACACAGTACTGTCCTCTGCAAAAATAAGTAGCTCCATTCTTTTCAAATTTAAGTCATATATTATTGGAAATAGGGCACATCTTTGAAAGAATTTGAACTTCACAAAGTTTTCTCATGTTATATAAAACTCTTTCAGAAGTACAACTGAACTACGGTTTGATAGCTGCTTCCTGCTGGAGATTGTTTAGAGTTGTGGCTTTTTTTTTGCACTGGAATAACTTTAGATTTATTTTCAGGGGAGGCAATGACCTAATGGATTATCTGGGGTTTTCTACAAGCAAAAGGAAACCTGAATTCTAGTTCTGAGTATGCCAATGATTTTCTGTGTGAGAAATTACATTTCTGAGTATCAATTTCCATCTTTTTTTTAATTACTGTTTTTTTAGGCTTGTTTGGCTCTTTCCATTTTTTTAACAGCCCCCCCCCACCCCGCCCCCAAGTTAATGATACTTTCGCTCATTAAAGTCCTCTGACACAGCTACAAAATAAGCTATGTATCACTGATAATTTTATGTTTGCCCTGACAAGCATTTGGTACTGTATTTCATCTCTCTGATCCTCTTCTTTTTTTTTTCATAAGGTATCATATGACTGTCAACATCTTTGATTAATCTTGAACTTCTTCACCTTTTAATGTTTTCTTGGCAATTTCTTTTCATAAAAACAGTAATATAACAGTGTTTATATAGTGACTCCATCTTGAAGTACCAAATACCTTCTTACAGTCATTGGTGGATTGCCTCTCACAACACGGATATGGGACAGGAGAACGTTGTTTATATGTAATATTCTAATGTTAACAGTGGGAAGACAAAGACATTGAAATATTAAGTGACTTGTGTAAGATTGCAGAGTATCTTTTACTGCAACAGAATTAAGAGCAAGCCTGATTTAGGTCATAATAAAAGACAATATCCCGATGAAGTTTTGTCTTCATCAACTTCCTTAGCAACCAGCCTTCTCTCTTGCTCTGTTGTGTAAAGTCTGGATAGTTCCTGCACTTTTCTCATTCATGACAGATTTTTGTCAAGCATTTTGCTGATTTTTCAAATTGATGTGAGGCTCCTCTGCTTCTTTCCTTCTTCTCCATCAATGTCAGCCTCTTTCATGCAAGTCCCTCTTGTGAGAGAGTCCCATATCATATACTCAATTTCTTACTCCATAAATAAGTGTGGTTTATTGGCTGTTATTGTTAAGAATTACACTTTTCAACTGAGGGATCTTTCTTATAAAAATGGAACAGAACGGTGTGTGAGAAGCTTCATGATTTTTTTACTATCACCTAAAAAGCATCATCAGTTATAAACTGTTATCAGGAGGGCATGGTGACTGAGGGGAAATTAATCTATCTTTTTTATTCTACTGTTTAACTACACTAAAAGACAGTGAAAACATTTAAAATGCGTTGCTAGTATGAAGCTTCCATGCAGATAATTGCTCTAGTAGCCTTTGGGAATGGGAGAGAGGCTTATCCAAGCCAACATAAATCACAAGCCCATGAGATAATCTTACTTGAAAGATAGAACTGTGTCCAAGAATGTCTGTTTCTCAGTACTGAATGTAAACTGCTTTCAAGTTCTGACAGTATTAGCCTGTTTATTTTCACCATCCTTCTTCCATGTCACTTTAAAAAATTATTTCACTGTGTATTTCCACCTTTATTTTGAATGTTTGTCATTACTGTTATGATCTGGCCGTGGGAAGGGAGAAGAAAGAAATCATCTGTTTCAGAAAGCCTGAGATCTCAGCTGGTTTTGTGTTGCTACTTTGCCTTTGCTAACTGCAGTCACATGAGGGCACTACATCTGTGATCAAGTTTCACTTTCTTCATGATGGCATACTGTACTGTCAGTCATTTATAGATTATATACTAGTATGTGTTACCAGAATAGCTCCTGCACTTGAATCTAATTTTGGCATTAGAAGGACTAAGTAAAACAAACAAAAAAACAAAAAAACCAAACACCCCCCCCACACACACACACCCCCCAACCAAAAAAACAAACAAATGGAAGAAGGTGTGCTGAGGTTTATCTAAGGAGCTCATGTACCTCTCCTAACAAGACCTCTTTTGTACTGTCATATTTTTTAATTTTTTATCATGAAATAAGCTCAGTTCTTTAAAGTTCTGAGAATTATTTCTCTTGTGTTTTTACTCTGGAAATGTAATATATGTTGGCAGCTTGTTGATTAACAGTAAGCAGCACAAGAAACAATTCTGGTATGCGTTTTGTTCCTAAATATAATTCTCTCTCAGGTGTTTCCCTGATGAAACAAAGCTTTACCACTGCTGCTCATGGGTCATATCATGATGGTCTCATTCAGATTTTTTTTCCTAGCCTGGTTGCACTTGAAACTTTTGCTGTTGTACCACCGTTGGCTGGGAAGAGTGGTCTCCATAGGTGTGTAGTGTGGTATAAAGTGTGTGTAGAACCCACGTTCAGGAAAACACTAGTGGAGGGATGAGGCAAGGTTGTAGTGATTACTGAGTGATGCTCTGACCTGCTCTCTCATGACTGGTATATGCAGGCTAAATTAGAGAGCGGAGTTTAATGCAGCTTTTAAAAAAAGCAAATTTTCTGGCTACGGTATTAAAAGTCACAAAGTGCTGTTCTTCATCTAACTCATTTAACTAAAGCAACTTATCTGAGCTATGTGGCTGGAATAAACTACGTTCACAGCGCTGCTGGTATAGTATGACTTTTTTTTAATGTAGAGCTGCCTACAAACTCTTAACAAACAAACTCCAAATTCCATGTGGCTTTTGCTGGAGTAAGAACCTTTTGTGTGCTCTCTGGGCTTGTAAAATTCTTCATGCAACAAATGCTGTAAGAACAACATGGAAGAGTTTCATTTCTCTGAGCATCCTATAACCCATCAGTGTTGTGTCTCTTCGTTTGCAGAATGGTTTGTCTCCGTTGCACATGGCAACACAAGGAGATCATCTAAACTGCGTTCAGCTTCTGATTCAGCATAACGTGCCTGTAGATGACGTCACTAATGACTATCTGACTGCGCTGCATGTTGCCGCCCACTGCGGCCACTACAAAGTTGCCAAGGTTCTCTTGGACAAGAAAGCTAATCCTAATGCCAAAGCACTGGTGAGTACACAGCGGGTTACTATTCACAGCTAAACATTCTTCCAAAGTTGCAGTGAGGCATATTTAAGAGTTATTTTCTGCCTGCTGATGGTTGACAGGGAGGATATGTTTTATTGCTACAGCCCAAGAGAGGATGCTCGAGGTTCAAAGTGTTAATAATGTATCATGCAATAAGAGTAGACCTTTGCTTACAGGCAGTTAGCAGTGATTTGTGAATTTCTAGTGTAACTAGAGTGCTTTTGCCTCCTGGTAGCTCGTTACAATTCTGAATACCTGAGGCAGCTGCAGACGTAACTGCTGTAGTTTTTAGTATGGAGAGAATTCTCATTTTCTAAATGTTTGTAAAGAGAAAATAATCAGCAACACTTAAAACTGAGAAAATTTTTATTCACTCTCAAAGATGTGAAACAGTAAAAAGTAGGAATGAGTTACATAACAGATATTTGTGGTATTTTATACTGATGTTGATGGAGTCATATGCCTTTCTACTTTAAAAACAACTTCAGCAACAAATTCTCTTAGTGTAATTAAACTACATACAAACTGAATGCATGAATGCATTTTGTTCAAAATTATACTTTCAATCCATTGTTTTTAAAATGTCTTTTTGATTTGTTCTTCAATAACTGTTCCAGACATACGCTCTGACATTAATTGGGTTGACTGCAGGTTTCACAGCCTGATGCTACTAACTCATTCAATTCCTGAAATATGTGAATTCCTGAAATCCTCACAAACCAGGTGGGATTGACTGTCTTGAAAACAGCACAGGCTCCATATTTTTCTTTCTCTCAGCCCCTCTGTTTTTTGTGTTAGGTCAACCTGTCTTCAAGTGTCTTTGGTCAAGGTATTATGAGATATGGATTTTGTTCACTATAACCAGCAAGTGGGGAGGCTTGCAGGCCTGTAATACTTATTTTTGCCTTCTGAAATTATCAAGCCATCATCAGGTTTAGCTTGTCAGGGTTGCTGGCAGTGACCTCTCAGTGGTCTGGTAACCTAGCCACAAATTTCCTTTTCACCTAAATCTTTTAGTGTTTCCTTTTATTCTGTCCTGATCCCCACTCAGGATGATTAAGTAGAAGGAGTCTAAGTGTAGCATCTGAAGCTCAAGCTCACTCTTCCCTGAAACACATCTGAGCTTACCCTGGACACTGTCCACTGCTGACATTCTCTCCACTGTGAAGGATGGCGTTGAGAGCTGCTCATACGTAACTGGAACAGACAATTGCACTGACCTCACGTTACAAAAGCATATGATATTCTTTACTATATGACAGGTTAAAAAAGCTGATTTTGATCAGATCTGAGGGACCAGTTCTGTCAGCTGTTTTCAGAATTGTTCTGCAAAGGCTTTTTTGATGAATACACATAGCAGTACCAGCATTCAGTGCACTAATGTCATTGTACCAGTCATGGAATCTCTGGACAGCTTATTTTCCTGTTATACCTGTTTTCTTTCTTATCATCTTACACTAAATAAGATAGTAGTTCTAAACGTTCACTCTGCTGCACACAACAACTTTTTTTTAAAGGAGAGGCCAAAATAATTGTAATTACAATAAACTGGAAGCTAATGAATGGGATAAAAGAGTTACAAGATTACTTTAGATCAAGATCCAAATGCCAGAGCTTGTAAAGTGCTTTTCTTACCAGCGGTTCTGAAAAGTAAAAAGAAAACCAGCCAAAAAAATCCCTCATCTCCCCCCAAAACTCCAACAAAAAACCCCACCCAGTTAACAGTAAATATGCTTAAGCAAAAATTAAGTGTTTGATAGTTTTATGTGAGCTGAGAATTTTTTGAAAGAAATTATTTATTGGAGTGAGCACTATATTTCGTAATTAAAACTGGATATATGAAATATATTGGGATTTTTCTTAGAAATTTTTTTCTCTCTTTTACATGAACAATTTAGTGAAGACAAAACAAATCTGCGAGGTGTTTTGTTAAAACAGAGGAATGCTTTATGTGAATTCCATACTCAATTTGACTTTTTAATGACATATGCAGTATCAAAAAGTATGTTCTTTCTCATTTGTCTTTACTAAGAGGATGGTCAAACACTTGAACAAGCTTCCTAGAGAGGTGATCGATGCCCCAAGCCTGTCAGAGATAAGAGGCGTTTGGACAATGCTCTTAATAACACGCTATAACTTTTGGTCAGCCCTGAAGTGGTCAGGCAGTTGGACTAGATGACCATTGTAGGTCCCTTCCAAATGAAAATATTCTATTTCATTCTATTTAGAACGGTTTCACACCTCTTCACATTGCCTGCAAAAAGAACAGAATAAAAGTAATGGAACTTCTTCTGAAGCATGGTGCGTCAATCCAAGCTGTGACGGAGGTAAGAAGTGGTCTTTTCATGTTTGTCTTTGTTTTTCCTGCAAAATTCATTATAACTATATTGATTAATATTGGAATATTTCTCAAAGAGTATGTACCAATCAAATAAACAATTATTTTCAACTAGATATTACCAAATAATAAAACTGAATAATAGTCAGTTGCACTAATGGATCACAACACCCAAACAGTTGGCACACTTGGGGAATAACAAGTGAAACATAACAGATTAAAAAAAAATTCTGTAATTTCTGCCAATTTTTGCCTGTAATTTAATGCACTGAAGATGAAATTCACTCTGTTAAGGAGATCAAGGTGAAAACTGTGCTTCACTCAAGTCCTAATTTGCAAGATGGTTTAATTCACAGACCTTGTTTTTGCTTTCAACACAGAAGTTATATTCACCCACCATCACAGGTCATCACAATTCAGCTAGACAGAAATCAATATGCTGTTACTTCAGTCAGCATGAGATAGTCTATATGCAGTTATTTGCACAATTTAGATATTAATTAAGTACCTATGGAAAATTTGGTTTGTCTATGTGTGTGTATGTCCTATTAAGTTAGGAGGAAAGGTCACATTTTGAATGTGTGACCACTGTGGAAGAAGCCAGGTTAGAAAATGGTAAAATTTCATTGATTAAACAGGAGCAATTCATCTCCCCAAAAGAGTGTTTCATTTCAGGCATGAGTTTTTGTTCTAATTATTCAGTAGCAAACCATACAGCTGCCTTCCTGGCTTCTTGAGAGAGAATGGAGCCTACCCTTGCTACAGCTTACACATCTCCAGACTAGTTTTAAAAAAAATAAACCATAGGGCTTGTAGATGCAGCTTTCAGAGTCTAATTTGAAGTCATGTTAGCAAATGAGTGAGAGGCACAGAGAGCTTTAACAGAAGAGATGCAGTGTCTGTCCTCTATATTAAGTCAGTCAATGTGGAAGTAGAGAAACTATCTATTCAATTTTATCCGTTTTAAATGCAAAGAATTAAGAGAATGAAAGCAACAGCAACAATTAACTTACGGTCTCGTGTGAGTGAACCAGGTTAACAGTCTGGTCTGTACCCTCTGAATTGCTTTTTCACGCAAAAACTTTCCAAAAGCAAGAGTTCTTCCTTTATTTCCTGTCACTGCCTCACCATGATCTCACATGATCTCAAACCACATTTGACTGCCTTTGTTGAGATTCATCATGGTACTTCACTGCCAGGCTCTACCTTCTGGCCTGCCTCTTTCACTGGCTCTTTCTGTCATAACAACCTTTCAAGGCAGAACTAGGAGTTGGTACTCAGCACCCGTACATAAGCCCCTATTTCTCTAGTCAGAAAGAGAATTTATATCTGGTCATCGAAACAAATTGACCAGAAAACTTCAAGGTATTCTTCCCCAAAGAAATGTGAGAGCTTGCAAGATGTGAATAAACAATGCAACTGCAACAAGAGGAAACAGTACCAAATGTCACAGATAGTCATAATTGCATATAAACTGTTTATTAAAGATAATTTACCATAGAAGGTGGTAATAAGCATTCTGTTTTCCACGTAGATTCCATACTTCCATTTGTAGATACTGCACCTATTTTTTTCAGCTGCAGGCTTGAATCTCTACAGTATGAGTTAGTGCTTACCGTAAAATATGACACACGTGCATTGTATTTCCTGTAGTGTATTATTTTTAAAAGCATTTACTAAATTACGTGAAACAGGGTAAAGAAATAACATACTCAACCAGTTATTCTGCCTTCCTGCTTACGTGTGCTGTTCTGCATGCGTGTCGTGGTTTAACCCCAGCCAGCAACTCAGCCCCATGCAGCCACTGGCTCACTCCCCTCTAGTGGGATGGGGGAGAGAATCAGAAGGGTAAAAGGGAGAAAATTCGTGGGTTGAGATAAATGGTAAAGCAAAAGCCACACGCACAGGCAAAGCAAAGCAAGGAATCCATTCACCACTTCCACAGGCAGGCAGGTGTTCAGCCATCTCCAGGGAAGCAGGGCTCCCTCATGTGTAACAGGTACTTGGGAAGACAAACGCCATCACTCTGAATGTTCCCCCCTTCCTCCTCCCCCAGCTTTACATGCTGAGCGTGACGCCATATGGTATGGGATATCCCTGTGGTCAGTCGGGGTCAGCTGTCCCGGCTGTGTCCCCTCCCAGCTTCTTGTGCCCCCCCAGCCCCCTCGCTGGTGGGGTGGGCTGGGCTGAGAGGCAGAAACGGCCTTGACTCTGTGTAAGTGCTGCTCAGCAGTAACTAAAACATCCCTGTGTTATCAACACTGTTTCCAGCACAAATCCAAACCATAGCCCCATACTGGCTACTAGGAAGAAAATTAACTCTATCCCAGCCAAAACTAACACAATGAGAAAGGAACAACATGTGTTTTCCTCACCTCTACCCTCCTGGGACTTGTATATATCTATCAAATCAGGGGATTTCCAGAGATCCACTGAGCTTTCTCCTTCTCCTGGTAGCCAAACTCCCTTCTGCAGCCTCTGGCTGGCATTGCTATAGCTGTGCAGAAGCAGCTGTGAAGAGGCTTTAGGGTAATTCTAGTTGGAGAAATATTAACTATGGATTGGATTTCTAAAGCAAAATCCTTGAGGTCCTGCCCTGCTAAATGGCTGCTCATTTTTTCCCTCCCTTTCTCCCTCCCTCTCTTTCTCTCCAGTTGGTCTTTTGTATCTTGTGGCAGTGGTGCAGATTTGTGATGGTGCCACAAGGTGCTAAGGGAAGGGGGAATTCTCTTTAGCCCATATCATTTGTGTCTGCGCCTCTCTGGCTGGGTACTACAATTTTGAATTCCCTTTCTTCTAGAGAAACAGTGGGGACGGAGCTCACCACGAAGTTCAGTAGACCTTTTTGTTGATCCAAAAGCAACTGGATTTGGTGGAGACAATGGATGCTGCATCTTTTTTGTATTAGCTGAATGTTCCAGAAAGTCATATCTTTGTACTGGGGATGCTTCTGCTTTTCTTTTTTTGGTACCCTGGTCCAAAATGATATTTAGCAAAAACTTACAGAAGAAATCTTGCTTAGCTGTAGTTTATTTTAGTTGATGAAGAATTACTGAATTCCTAGAATGGTTTTATGTTTGCTCATTAATTACTCGTAGGTATTTCCAATTCTGTGTGCCTTTTAGTTTAAGCATGTGTATATTGTTTTTGAGAAGATAAGATCCTCTCAGAAGAGCAAGCGCTGGGGTTTACTTCCTTTAGAGTAACTTATTTTCCCCATGGCATTCCTGTAAAGGAGTGTGGCAGTAGGGATTTAAGCTTGATTTTGGTTTGGTTTTCAGTCGGGCCTAACTCCAATCCATGTTGCTGCCTTCATGGGACATGTAAATATTGTATCGCAGCTAATGCATCATGGAGCATCTCCCAACACTACCAATGTGGTGAGTAACAAGTTTCCTTTCAGCATGGCAGAACTGTGAATACATTATAATATGTGGGAGCAGCACTCCTGTGAAGCATCTAATTCTGATGTTCACCATCCACCTCCATAGCAGTCGTGGCTCCGACTGGAGTCATGGGAAAGTGCAGCCAGCTGACTCCTGCTTGGGAGATGTTTGACACATTGAGAAAACCTCAAAAGAGGCTGACTTTAGGAAGACTTTATTCTCTTTATTTTCTGAAGTAAAGAATGAGAACATACTGTAGCTTCTGATAGTAATTTTTGCGATGTGTACTTGACTGTTGAGCGCTGTTTTCCCAGGACCCCGGGGGCCTACCATTTAAGGAAAGTTCTGCTGTTATCAACAGATTGCAGCAGATTGTGGGGACATATTGCCCGTGTCCATACAGCCGTACAACTGCGCTTTTCTACTGGATGTGCAGTGTGTGCCCCAAGGCTCCCAGGGCATGTGTAAAAACTGAAGTCATTGTTAGATGGATATTCGAAAGTTGACAAATGAGAGGAAAGTAGAAGCTTGTTGAGCCTTGATAACAGTTTAGCTTTAAAATCTTCCTTTCACCTTCCATACACAGGTACAGTTAGAAGATGATCTTTTATTAAAGTCTGTATCTGCTAATTCTATTAGATTATATAAAAGTGCAACACCATTTGTAAACTAGTAGGTTTTGGACTGAAAGATGTATTGATGTCCAAAAACATAGAAGGCATTTTTCTGTGGGGAAAAAAAAAAACGAACTGAATTTATTCTGGTTTCCTTGGATTTGTCTTTCATTAAGTGCCTGCAGCCTTAGATTAATGAACTCAGTAATGATTTTTTTTCCTCTTATTCACTTGTCTCGGTGCTTGACAGATAACAAATGATAGTAGAGGCATGGGGCATAGCAGGAGAAAAGCCAAATATATGTGTATCTGAATATACAAAATTTGAAATAAACTTTTTGTTTGACTAGGCTCTATTGAAATGGACATAATTTTTAATGCTAGTGGTAAAATGCTAGTACATACAAAAATCACACTGTCTCTTTTCAGCAAAGGAGTAGTGACAAAGGCACTATTGTGATGGAAAGTTGACCCTGCAATAAACCGCTTTGTAGCATACAACGAAGAGGTCAATTATTGACTTAATCTCCCATCTTGCTCGCAGACAACTACTACAGAATATTCTAGTGGAGATTATTCTGAACTGGATCACCAGTATTTTTGTATTTATGAAGCATGTTGGGGTTTGTTTTTCCTGCAGTCTGTTTTTAATGATATTTTATTTTTGCTGCTGCATGCTAGAGAGGAGAAACAGCACTGCACATGGCTGCCAGAGCTGGCCAAACAGAAGTGGTTCGACACCTGGTACAAAATGGAGCCCAGGTGGAGGCTAAAGCTAAGGTAAGGTGATGGTCTGGTTATAATAACCCTAAATTATCTATATTTAACAAAGCAAGGTTTTGGGAAGAGAAAGAGAGATGAAGCCAAGGGTTTTGGCATAATGACTGCTGATATTTTGTTATGTACTCTCTTACTGTAGTCATGAGTGATCTGTATGTAAGAGAGAAGACAGGAGATGTCAAGTTGATACCATGCCCGTTTTTTCATCAACTTTTAATATAAGCTATTATGTGTTTCAAGAGTCTTGTTTTGGGGTGGGAAGCTAGTAGGGGGAGGAACGCCTCAAATCTGCTTTTATTTCTGAAAAACTGTAAACCTTAGGCTGCTGGTGTCTCCTGTCATCTCCCTAAAGCATCAGCCTGTATGCATTCAAAAATAGTTACACTTCTAAAGAAGACTTCCTAAAGTAAGGAGGCACAATAAGGGAATATAGCATAGGGTTGGAAAGAAGGAACAAACCCTATAGAAACAATTGCAATTGAGGAAGATAAGGGAGGAGGAAAAAGAAAGAGTCAAGAGCCACTAAAGAAACATACAAAAGTATGGAAAAAAGAGAGCTCCAGGAAACAGACAGGGAAAGGAGATGAATGGATGCAATAAATAGCAGTCTTACTCGGTAAAACCAGGATTTTTTTTTTTTTCAGATAGCAGTTAAATGAATACAATTTCAAAGAAATTTATTTTTCATTATGAAATTATCATCTGTGAATTTGCTCACAAATAAAGTTACTAGTGAGAATATCTACTTATAAGGAACTCTGAGTAAATATTTATAGCAGATATACTTCATATCTGCAAGCAGTCTGACAATAGAAGTGAATCATGTGGTCTGTAAATCTCCAGACAGCCTTGAAAGTGAACAGCTCATGCTCAGAAGCACAGTCATGCAAATATTTTCGAAGTAATTTCACACAATGGATTAATTTGTGCAAACTGCCATTGCCTGTGATCAATTTGTTATCATAAATAACAACTAAATACAAGTAATGGATTATACACCAGTGCTAACAATAGCCGTGAGAAATTTGTGGGAAACAGGCATGAACTGGAAACATTTAAGAACCATAAAGGCTCTCCATCAGTCAGATGAGAATTTCCCTGCAGAGGAGCAGCATTCACATCCTGACGTGCTCTCATCCTAAATCTCAAAGGTGTAAAATCACTGTTGTAGGATGGGCACGGGCAGAAGTCTCTCTAGCAGAGAACTACTCTGCTGCAGAATGTGGGTAGCAGTGTTCAAAAGGTAGGAAATTCAGCAGGGAAAAATGGGGAGGGAGAGATGAGGAAGAGGAAAAAGTCATGGGCTTTGTTGGCCATACTGTTGCAATAGTGTGCTTAATCCAAAGATTGTACAACTGAGCATGGGGACGACAAAAGTACAAAACCAAATAATGACTAAAGAAGAAATTTTCTGTTAGACACTTGGAACAAGGTCACAAACCACCACAATATTTTCACTGAAGGAAAATAAACAATGAGATTCATGACAGGGCAACCCCTATACTTAAAACTATTGAGATTATTGTGTTCTGAATGAGCGGTGAGAAAACAACAGTGAATTTCAGCATTATGCTTTATCTTCAGTTATATCCACTGTAAGGTTATCTGCAAAATACCAAGCAAATCGTTCACTAGTAAAAAACCGTAACATATGATACTTAATGCAAGTTACTAGGCAATAATATGCTAAGCAGCGCAGGTCGACCCAGACAACTGATTGAGTTGTTAAATGTTGCTGGGAATCATAAGAGATCAAGGTGTGAGGAATAGAGCTGTGCATTCACTGCCTTTTAAGAAAGGTCTCAAATTCTTTCAGTGCACCTTAGCGGCAAAGCAAAATGAGGCAAATCTGGATTAAGAAAACTGATCAGTTTATTTACTGTTATGGATTATGTACCTGTCTGGAATATTTTGTGATGCATCAACAAAGCACAAGATATTTTTATTATATGACAAACAGAAAGCCAGTGTGCAATATTCACTAGGTAAGACCTCAGTAAAATTAATGCTTGTCTGCAACTTTGAAAAGTGGTAGAATCTGAGCAAATATTTTCTGTCGAAATATAAGCCTTAGTTTTCTATGTAGGACTGTTTCATTTATGTTTAGGACGACCAAACGCCGCTGCACATTTCTGCTCGACTGGGAAAAGCAGATATAGTACAGCAGCTGCTACAGCAAGGAGCATCTCCAAATGCAGCTACGACGTCTGGCTATACGCCCCTGCATCTTTCTGCTCGAGAAGGACATGAAGATGTAGCTTCTGTTCTTTTGGATCATGGTGCATCTTTATCTATCATTACCAAGGTAAGGGAGTTGCAAAAGTGATGTCTTCAATAGTAAATATACCTGTAGCAAGTGCTACATGTGAGTTAAATGCTGCAGGAGTCATATGCACATACAAATAATGTAAGAATGAGCTACATTTTGTTAAAAGGGTACAAAGCTTCATGCTTTTACCTCAGAGCCTGATGTATAACACATCCTAGTGATCAGACATGCATTTTCTTGGAATGAAAGGAATGCAGGGCAGACATTCCTGATGGCAGTTGATAAGCTGTTACCCAGCCTTGTTCCTTCTCCTTGGGTCTTTGGCAGTGTGAAGAAAGGAACTGACTCTTCTCTTTTTACAGTTTTTTTTAATGTAGATAGGGCTTTGCCTTGTGAGGGAGGGCCTCCAGACCTGCCAGGGCAGTTGGGAATCTGCAGGCTTGCTGCCTGTACTCAGGACTGTGTAAGGGGATGGATGGAAGCAGCAATATCCTTGTAGATCAGAGACAAAGCTTAGCCTGAAAAAGAGTGCACAAGGCTGCTATGTAACTGTTTTCTCTTACAGAAAGGATTTACTCCTCTACATGTGGCTGCAAAATATGGGAAAATTGAGGTAGCCAACCTCCTACTTCAGAAGAATGCATCTCCTGATGCTTCTGGAAAGGTAGGACAGAAGAAGCCACTGCTACTTGCGCAGCAAATATCTAAATGCACATAATATTCTAATATTATTCTACTTACTTACCATCACATTACTATCCACAACCTGGCTTAACTGGAATGTGTTCCATGTAATAGTCCAGTCACTGTTGGGGCTGCCAAGAGCCAGCAAACTCTTGATAAAAGTTTATGACTCTTACTGTCATTAATTGACAACAAAATTATGTTCTCTCTGTACCCATCCAGGGGAATGGAGACGGACCATTCCCCTACCTTCCTGCGCAGAGTATTTACAGTTCTTGTCAGGGTATTCAGGCAGCTGGCTCAGTTCCCTTGGGTCTTATGACAGGGGGCAAAGCCTGGTAGGACCTCAGGCTTTTTAAACCAGCCCAGCTTGGATTTTTACAGATTCAAGGTACAGTTTACTTATCCACTGCAGTAAAAGAAAAATGTTGCCGTCAATCAGTTTTGACCTCAGGGTCAAAATTCCTTGCCTGCTCTGTCCTGAGGGCAGCACAGATATGTGCTTCTCTGTTCATCTTCCCTGGGAAAAGTTGCAAAGGGCTTTCACATCTCAGTAAGGATTTTCAAATGTCTGTTTTATTTTTTGATTCTAAAGTTATCAAAGACTCTGGATGCATGAATGAAATAACAAATGTGTTTTTCCACCTTATCTGCTCTGATTTTTCCAAACTCTTTAAGTTTTCCCTGGAGAGGGTCTGTAACAGCACTTGTTTGTTCTGCATGTGTTTTTAGAGCGGCTTAACACCACTGCATGTAGCTGCACACTATGATAATCAAAAAGTGGCACTCCTACTGTTGGACCAGGGAGCTTCACCTCACGCATCTGCCAAGGTACAAGTACTGCCCACTCTGTGGGAACAATACCTAAGTCTTTTGTGTCACTTTATTCCCTGTCTACCTCTGTTCTTTATAGGCTGTACGTGCTTGCAATTACAGGGGGCTCAGTGACCTTGTTTATTAGTGTCTCACAACCACATAAAGCTGTTAGAGTAATTCTGCAGGTGAATAAAATAGCAGTAAAAAAGCAAATATAGATGTAGAAACATTTAAAACCTCTAGTTTCAATAAAGTTCAGTCCCAGTGAATACTGAGCCTTGCTTTCACTTGTCCAGTCTCCTTAGTACCTTCCCCAAGCGAGCCAACTTTATATCATTATATCTTAACATCTGTGCAGGGCAAGCTTGGAGTTAATGCCCTCCTATAGAGGGGTAGTTCTACTGTATTAAGCCACAGGATGACTTCTGAGGTGTGGTATGTTTCTCAGTACAATGTACATAATTATTAATGTGTTTCACAATACTTCTATCCCAGTGTAAATGGACTAGTGAGAAAATAAAACATACAGTTACAGCCCTGCTTTGATTGCAATTTACTATAGGCAAGACAACTCATAGTGTAAGATTTGAGGGGATATGAAAGAATAAATATTTAAAGGTATTCTAGTTCTGAGTAGAAGAAAGAATTCAGAGAAGCTTCAAGTGTCTATGTATTTTGTGGATCCCAGTTTTAAGTATGGATCAGTAATTGATAGTTGGACAGCAACAGTAAGTAAAACAGGGTGGAAGCATACGTAGGTTCAAGTAGGGTAAGTGCAGTGTAAATACCTCATCTGAAACAACCCAGATACATTCCTAAAATCAGCGCAAAAAAACAGTGTGGAAAAGGAAGAGCTAGTGGGAAAGCCAGTATCATAGATAGACAGCTCTCCTTGATTGCCTTACTCTCACACATGACTGAATACAGCCATAACACTAGAGGCCTTCTGCATGGATAAAGAGGAGGATGGAATCTGTCATACATGGTAGGTCCCAGAGCTTATAGTGCGAAAGAGGGGAAAGTTAAATAAACATGGATAGCCAGCAGCAACGGCCCAGTCTAAAATCAATAATGTCGATAGTGGCAATCTTCCAGAGCAGTGCCCCAGGAGGTGAACTGGAGTGATCTCTGATCTTTTACTGCTGCAACACAGCACTCTTAAATGCCACTGTGGGGAGGAAAGGGCCTTGTGAAGGGGATGAGGAGACACTGACCCAGTTTTCACTGAAAGAAACTGCCAGTGGAAGCTGTGCATCCTATAGGGACAGGGATTGCAGCAGCCACTGCCAAGGGCTTGGGAAGCACTATCGACTATGGTATAATATTACACAAACTTGTGTGTCAGGACACCTTAGCTTCCCCATTTGGAACAGAACAGTTTTGCAGCTGCCACGTCAGCCCTTCAAGTGCCAGCTGTAAGTCTTTCTAAAAGAAAGCATTTGTTAGTATTTTGCAGCAAGTGAGCCACAGCAACACTAAGTAGAGTGTCAATACTAAATAAAATTAATGGTAGCATGTTTGTTGCTTTAGGCACCCACTGTGCAGTCATGTGAAAGATGATGTTGGTAACAGCAGATGATTTCCCATTTCTTTGGTAAATGTGGTCTAATAAGTAAATGTGTTATATCTCATCACTGGCTCCACAGTTAGTTTCATTAGCAGTTACTTCTTCTGTGACAATCCTGACTAGCACTGATCTTAAGAGTGGCTCATTAGCCTGGCCTGGCAGCATTTGCCATGAAGAGTGATCAGTGAAAGGGTATGGGAATTGGCCATGTCAGAGGACAGCCCTGTCATACAAACAGTTATTCTGATGAACCATTCTTCTTTTTTATAGGCAAAAATTAGGCATGTGTCTAGTTTTAATTTGACATACTCTTTATAATGCTTCTCTTCCTCTTGCCCCCACCCGCAAAGCCTCAGTTTTTCTCTGTCCCTTCATCTTTAACCATTTTTGCTTTTTACCTCTTTTCCCTGGCAGCCAGAATAACCCAATACCCTACCTTTCAAACTTCTGTGTTCCCTTCTGCATCTATGTGTAGTAACAGAACACAGTCCTGATGAGGAGAAGATGCAGACTGAGACTGGGCTGAATTTCAGCTTTTATTTTTCGGCTCTCTTCTTGCCTTCTCTTGGCAACCTGCTGCTTTCCATTCCACTGAAAGCAGTGTATACCCACTTCTGAGGAAGAGGCTTGAAAACTGCTTTGTTATTTTACAAAATATACATTTACAATACACAGAGTTTAGCATATACACAGGATTTAGCACGTAGTATTTCAGATTTAGTAGATGCTCATGTGGCGATGGTTGTTTTACAGGTCAGTCTCATGCAGGAAGTCTAAGGGAGAAGCTTGTGTTTTTCCTGAAGCATTTTGTCTTCAAAGTGAAAATTCAGTGGCTGTATACTTCTCTTATTAATTGTGGCACTGTTTTCTGGGTGTCATTTTGAAATATCTTGGTATCTAAGGTCTGAACTGGATCTGAATTGAATTTTAAAGGTTACAGAACATTCTCCATGTGGAGTATGTATCTCTTTCACTTCCAGTTTACTATTAAAGCTCTCTTGTAATCATTTCTGTGCCCTTGCATATTAATTCTTTGCTCCTGCCTGCATTGCCCTGCATCTGTTGTGACCTGCCTCCCCGTATAGTCCAGTCCTGCTGCCCCGCGGGGCGCAGGGAGGAGCCAAGCCAGGTGAATGCTTTGTGTCTTTAGATAGATTTCATTGGGCTGTATAATCTGAGATGCACGTGGTAGTTATGATACCATATGAAATGGTTTACGCAGCTGGGGTCTCACCCCCTTGACCTTCTCCCTTAGTCATATGCATACATGTGCACATTTGCCATTTCCTTTAAAATGAGGGCTAATACATTTCTGAAAGGCAGAAAGTTCTTGATTAAACAGGCATTGCAATCTGTACCAAAAGTTGGTTCTACCTTAGTGTTTTGGTGTTTGTGTGCTAATCAGTTATTCTTTATATCTATTTATCTATTTTCTGCCAAATCCATCCTGTTTTAGAATGAGAAAATTTTACCATGCAATAGATACTGCATTTTTATTTTTAGTAGTGAGCTCACTGGGTACACATATTGGAAGGAATAAAAAAATAAAGAATGCAAGACTCTAAAGCTATATGCTTTATTTTTCCCTTGATCTGAGCAAAAAGAGCCGGTCACTAAGGTTAGGGTAAATGCTGCAAGAAAGGCCATATTTCATGTACATAATCTTTCATTCACACTGGGAAATGGGGGGGGCGGGGACAGACACCATCAAAAATAACAGCTGTTCTAAGTTATGAACACACATCCTGCTCTTCTGTTTGTTAAAGATTTTATGTAAATTTAAGGAAAAGTAGCAAATGTCTGTGAAATGAAACTCAAATTCCTATTGCTATAGGTTGTGCTTTTCTGATCAGATTTTTTTTTTCCTAAATTTGAAAGTTTCTTTCAGAATCCTCCTAGGTGTAGCGGTACTTTCAAAAACAAATCGCTTAAAGCTCTGATACATTCATTTGTACAACTAGTCACTATTGTATTGGACTATGTTTGACGAACTTTTAGAACTAAGGACTTAACTTTCATAGAGGTGGGTAGGTACAGAAAAGTGATTTATCACTTGTTTAATGAGTAGCTTGCAATGAGGTACTTTGTGTTGACAGAACGGCTATACACCATTGCACATAGCTGCCAAGAAAAACCAGATGGACATAGCAACTACACTGCTTGAATATGGTGCTGATGCCAATGCTGTAACCAGACAGGGTATCGCCCCTGTACATCTTGCCTCTCAGGACGGCCACGTGGACATGGTGTCATTGCTTCTTACTAGAAATGCTAATGTAAATCTCAGCAACAAGGTAAGTGTTCCCCCTGCCTGGTGCTAGGCGATAAACAAACACAGTGATGAGAAGGATAGGGGCCTGCAAGTAAATTTTGTCCACCGTGATTCTGCAGGTTTTGAAAACTACTGCAGGTGTTTAAGTACACGTCATCATTTCTTAGCAGATAGCGGAGAGAGCAGCGTGCAGCATGCCATGTCACGTCACATTGAATGAAATGTATTTTGTAGTACCCGAGTTTTGATGATGGCACATGCTGCAGAGGAGCTTGAAAATCCCTCTCCCTCTCTTACACCTTATGCTAGTCTGCCAAAAAATGCCTGGAGAGAAAACTTCTTTCCCCGCCCCCAGCAATTAGTGGGGTTGGTGCGTGTCGTTTATGAGCCTCTAGATGTGTGCCTGACCATTAAGCAATGGTAACAACTAACTTGTGAAGGGAAGCTGTTTTTTTTTTTAATGGGATAATAACAGCGAGGTGGTCTGAGAATTTTTTCATTAATATCAGTGATTCTACCTCCCCAGGGGGTGTTCCTCAGAGCACAGTGGCTTTTGGTGTGATTTCTCCTGGGGGCAGGAAAGGGAAGTTGGTAGATTTTAGTTTCTATATGTATGAATTTATGGGCTATTAAGTCTGCTCTATAGTAATGTTTCTAGCAAATGTGCAGCCTTAGTTCTTTAAATGCCCCACTAGACATCAGAGATGTTGTAAAGTACAGTTTCAGTAAGAATTTATATGGCTAGAGTAGAAAGGCAAGAGACAAATTTTTCATGGGAAGTATTTCTTGTTCTCAGCAAATAGAAAGACTTGGTGTCCTCTGAGGCTGTGGGTGATGCTGCACAGGGCTGCTGTGTTTTCCTGTTTCTAACTTTACAGTTTGGTTATTTTTGGGCCCTCCTTCAGGAAGCTACTCTTGCAGATGTCGATTTTATTCCCTGCACCCCTCCACACCCCGTCTCAATCCAGTGTGTGGGCTTAAGCAGTGCAGGATGTACTTTGTATCTCCACATGGCAATTTGCCGTGTACACATTCTGCATCACTTTGGCTGTCATGGTTTTGCTGCTAAGGCTAATATAGAGAGCATGATTGCAGCTGCTTGGCATTTTGATTCGGTCCCACCAGAGGCTAATTACCTGCAACATCCTTCAATCCGTTACTGTTCCGTTGTAATCTCTAGTTTCTCATTATGCCGATAATAGCATCTTTTGAAAATAGTTCCCCTGTACTCACTTTAGGAATGTGCGTTTCCTTCCAAGCTCAGCACCTGTATTTGAAGCCAGATATTTAAAGCACAGTAAGTTTTGTGGTTTGCAATGGGAATAAAAAGAGCGTTTGTTTTCTTCAGGGTCCACAGAATGGTTGGGAGCTGAATACTTAGTGTGGGCACTGAGCACTTCTTAAGTCTTTTTAAGAAGGTTTGGCCCATAATAGCCAGGATCTGTTAGGTTATTGTTAGATATTTGTGTAATGTGACCCACCTAAGCTGCATTGTCATCAGGATTGTATCTTTGAGTGCAGCATAGTGGGATGCTCTCAGCAGTTATTGCCTTTGATAGTAAGTCCACTGTGGACATGAATTTGGGTTCAAGGGAAGGAAACTTAGCAAGTGTTTCTGCCTGATGAGCCAACTGCTGCCACCTGCTCTTCTGTCACCCGTGCTAAAGGCAGAGGAACAGGAGGAGAGAAAAAGAACTGTAATTTGCGAATAAAGGGATATTTTTTCCCATTCCTGACAACATCCCCACAGCAGATGCTCTCTTCTACCCTTTCTACCTGAGGTTTTTTAGAGCTAGTGGGGTTGCATAGATTTCTGAGGTTTTTTTTTTTTTTCTGAGGATTTTCGATCTCAAGTTTCAGATAAGAAAAATAATGAGCTATCCAAAAAGTATGAGTGTCAGTACATGTCATCTAGCAAGTCTGTATACTCCCTGGGCGGAAAGAAATGGACCTGATCTCAGAAAAAAATGTAGTTTTATCTTTTTCTGTTTGTTTTTGAAAATTATTAGAGGAGTAGAAGTTAAGGACAAATCTGAGTGAACATTATTTCTGGAAAACTTTGTAGAAGTGTAAACAATAATTCAGTATTTCTTTTTAAATCTTACTCATTCTAAGAAAGTAAATTAAGAGGTTAAAAAAAATACTGTGACTTTAAGAAAAGTGCTGTAGTTTGCTATCCCACATTGAATGCTGCATGAAGAAATGTTCCTTGTGTAAAAGAAACATTCTCTTCCTGGCTTCCAAATTGTACTTTCTTGGAAATCAACAAATGGGATTAAGAAGCACATCACACAGTGAAAGTGGAATTTGTAATGTCTTTACATTCAGTAGGATGTTTTCAGTCTTACTGATACCTGAATTTGCATTTTAGTATTCATGTGCCTCCTCTGAAGATTGTTACTTGTTTCTAATTCACAGAGTGGACTGACGCCACTCCATCTGGCTGCTCAAGAGGACAGAGTCAATGTAGCAGAGGTTCTTGTTAACCAAGGAGCCGCTGTTGATGCGCAGACGAAGGTATAAACTCCATTGTCTAGGTGTATTATTTCCTTTCAAGGAGGCATCAGCCTATAGACTGGACTAGTAATCGATTTCAGGGTGAAACTGAAATAACAGCAGAGAAACATTCCTTGTAATAAATTGTTATAGAATATATTCTGAAAACTGAAGATATGTAAACTTGAATGTTCAATGTTATGCTGAGTCTTTGAGGAGTAAACTTATTTCTTGCTAAATATTTAGATCAGTATTGATTTAGATTGTATCCTACAAATGTGTTTCACTGAAGATAAGTGGGATTGATCTGTTTTTTATGTAAGGAAACTTTCAAAAAAACTTGAGTTCTCTCTACAGAGAGTTATATAATCTTTCACCATATGCATACTCTCATGTGCTTTGGGTGTGTTTTCACATGTTGTATGTACTTTCCATTCAGCTGACAGTAGAAACAAAACACAGGAGAACTGTTACTTAAAACGTGTGTACTTACAGCAGGAGAAACAATGTGAAT